AGTATCCATCATTTGAGCACTTATTGACCAGGCTATTTGTCTATAGTCGTTCAGCGATGAAGGTCGCACTGGGGATTCCACTGGTTTTGCGAAAAAACTTGCACTTCTTTTTGCGATCGCTAGGTGAATAATACGAAAAATAGTTGGAATTTTTTGATGAGGACTATTGAATTTTGCTTTTCACGAATTATTCAGCCGCAAATTGAACTTCTCTAGTATACAAAGGCAGACTCGAATTTCAGATCAAACTAACTATCATATGGAACAGATTTCGGCGAAATACTCGGAAATTGAACTTGCAAATAAATCGATTTAATCAGAGCAAGTTAAATACGTGCGTTCACATTCAGTAACGCGAACCAACTCCAATACTCAAAACTCAAAAATGTTCGACCCAAGAGGTAACTTATTTCCACTACATGTTTCGCTAATACAGTAGCTTCATCAGGTGAAATATACTAGTATAATGTACAATGTTTGTGAAGAATTTACAAATCTAATAATATTTGGAAAATTGTATTCAGAGAAGTACTGAACAGGGTGGTATTCATTTTCTTACGATTTGGCCATAAAAAATAAAATTTTTGAGTTCTTAAAAGAAAACATACAAATCTATACGAAGACATAATCAGATCAAAAATGCATAAGTTAAATTAGTTTCGTATCTCAATCAGCTCCACTGATTGATCATGAATGTACGGCGAAACTAATTTAAGTAGCCCAGCTATGTCAGCCCACTTCAATCTCTGTACGCTGTTCGATATTAGGTTAAAAATCTGTTTGTATAAGTTTAGATTCATTCGGTTACATTACTGTCTTCCCCGAATATTCATCAAGGTAATGGATGCATGATGAGTTGTCCTTTCTCAAACAGTTATTGTATTAAATGTCATTCTCCTCCTTCCGCATTTTGATTAAACTTGCGACTCATTCAAATTTAGCAATAGGAATGTGAATTCAAATCGATACTATAGGGTGGCTATGTCTTTATTGACTTGAAAATTACCTCTTTTATTGATACCGGAGGAAAACGAAAACGGTAGGCAAATGAAATAAGATAGATAATAAAATACTGTTCAAAGAATAATCTTTGCTAACGTCACACATCGAATTCCTGTAGAATTGATAGTGACGCAAGGTTTCAGCAAATCTCCATATCAATTACCCGATTTCCTAAAGCCCCTAATCGTTTATTTCCATGTCATTCCTCCGCAGATCGATTTGTTGGTACTCATTTGTGATTCAAACATTAAAAAAGATCATGATCCTTTCCGATACCCCCTACCCCTACCCCCGTGGTCCGTCGACGAAAACACACTAGAGTCTAGGGCCAGCACCTTCTGAGGAGGCGAATTTACCCGAGCGCCGACAGCGGACACGATAAAATCCTTCGAAGTGTCCGAGAACGATAGATATTCTTTTTTGTACAGTGCTACTCGTTATCAAAGTTGACTAAAGTTCATTCTTGATATTACTTATATTATTATTTGCCTATAATAAATATGGAAAATTATAATAAACTATAGATCGACGTTTTTCTTTTTACTTTATGCCCTTTATGGTATATACCTAAGGCAAATATACGATCGACAGTATATAGAATCACTTTGGTAAATTTGAAAGCGTGTCCCATTTCAAACGCCCCCCCCCCCTCCCCCCGCTATATCTCAGCTATCAGTCGTGCGATAATTACCAAATTCGTATCGGTATGAATAATCATCAATATTACCGGTTCTTCAAAGACAAACATCATTTTAGACAGGACCGTGCATTTTTATTGGAATGAATATGGGCAAATTTTTTATTAAATCATATTAAGCATTTTTTCACAGGAAAACTGACCTCATAATATTGTTCTTCATGGTTTCAAACCGACATGTGTGGATTTTCATAAGATGCCTATGAAGGGTTTCAGAAAAACAGGCACATCCAAACAGTATTTTTGCGAATGTAATAATTATTTATTCGGAAACGGTGAGTTCAACATAAAAAAGTATGACTCGTTTTTCCTTCCAAATCATGATTTTCAACCTACCGGAACCACTGGACGTTCCAAAATTCGTAGTTGATTTGAAGTCACTATTTATTCGAGACTGAACATGAAAAGAATTAAGCCAATCCTGTTAATTCGGAATTAGGTGATTTCTTGCATATGGAGGTTCGAAAGCATGAGGAACAATAATATGAGGTTAGATTTTCTGTAAAAAATGCCTAATATGATTTTATGAAAAATCGACCCCTTTTTAGTTCAATAAAAACGCACGGCACTGTCCAAAATAATGTGCATCTCCGTAAAACTGATCATATTAATGGTGATTCATACCACATCAAATTTGGTTGGAACCGCATGACTAATGACTAAGATATAGAGAGGGGGCCGTTGAAAGTGAGACACGCTGTATATATAGCAAACAGTAATTTTTCAATTTACGATAAAACTTTGAGACAGTTTTCGTCCTGAATCGAATTTTCCAACGATTTAAAATAGTGTATACTGGGGTAGTGTCTCTTTAAAAAAAATATCAACCTTTCGACATAACTCGTGAACGCAATATGTTCGATATTTCTTTCGATTTCATATCATCGTCTAATCAGCGCAAAAAATACGACCTAGGTACTCTACTAGGTATATAGTATGCCCTTTCAACTAGCTCAACTAGCTGACATTTGTATAGCTTCATCGATATTAACCAAATTATAGCAAATAGTATACCGACTTACATTTGAAAACTCTGTAGGTATACATAAAGCTATTATATAATTAATAATGAATTCCGTGTGTCAAATTTTCGTTGAGCCACCCTGTTTACTAATTTTACAACGTGGATGCCGCCATATCAGTAAAGTGATTACCCATACCTACCTATACCTACTTATTGATATATCATCGAATAGGTATACCTCCAGTCCTAGAAAAACAGCACTGCATATTCTAATAAACTTTATACCTACAGCACACATTGTTAAGAACAACTAGAGGTATAGGTAGTAACAACTTTTTGAGTCAATTATAAACCTACATCACCTATATCAGCAGGAGTCTAAAGGAACAAATAATGTTTGCAGACCAAAAAGCATTTTCATCACCATGAAAGTTACTGTCCAGATAAAATATTTCAATTTTACATTCAACTCTGTATGCTCTAATCTCTGATATTTGTTGTTGAACGAATCTTTTTGTATTCATCAATGATTCAAAATCAGGGTTGCGATGAAAAATACAATAAAATGTACTAGATTACGACGTGAAATTGTAATAGATGACAGTAAATAGTAATAGATCGGAGAATGACGAAACTAAAAATATATATAGTTATGCGCTTGCGCTTAGAACAGCTCATCCCTACTATTTTCAGTAGCAAAGTGGTTGAAAATCACGCATTAGGGTAAATATCCATAAATCCGCTAAAACCATCGATATAAATCACTAAAAGTAGACCGCTAATGCCATAAGATCAAAGCTCATTCATTCACGAGATCGAACGTGGTTCGATATGGAGCGTGCGCATTATGGACCTGTCATTATATCTTACTCACTCTCACTTATGTTGGCGAATACCATATCAAACACCAAGAGACATGACTCGCATGAACGACAGTTTGGGAATTCCTGAGCGTTGATTTGCATAAGCGTTCCCAGGCGAGTAATTTAAACAACATTTTCGGTTTGCTGGGATATGACAGTAATTATGTCAGTGGTGCCTGTGACGTCACCCAGTTAACACAGGATATCTTATGGATATCCATTTCAAGTCCTATTCAAGGCGGGATATCCGTGGACATAAAATGTATATCCATAAGATATCCGATTGCGGATGTACTTGAGATATCCGAAACAAACAAACCTCCTGAATACGTCCATAGGATATCCATAAGATACAGAGACAAAAGATCAATACCTAGACAATTCAAATCAAGTATATACAATGAATGAAATGATAAATAAATAAAAGGAGATCCACAAGAGTAACACTTGTGCGTGGGTCTTCCAAAAGATAGCACACATTGTGATGCACTATCTGCTATTATTATTTATTCGGTTTTCAAAAACAGCGCGAGGTAGCGTAACGTCTCAAATAGTCCAAGATTGGTAGAACTGATGATTATTTATAGATCATCGATTTTACCAACCTTGGAATAGTCAAATAATGTCAATCTGTTCTCATATTCAATTAATTCGAGGTGAATTTGGAAGTGATTCCTACGAATTCGTCCAAAATTGATGATGCATATGAACTGACAACTACATTATTCGAACGCAGTGAGACGTGAGTGCTTCCCAATTTTTGTGATCTTTTTCTATATATAGGGTATACTATCTCTTATCCATATCCATAGTTGATATCTTATGGATATCCATAATGAATATCTTTAAGACATCCAAAAAGGTCACGCTGTCACATCCTATGGACGCCCATAGGATATACCAGAGCCATTTTCGGGTATATTATGGACATCCACAATATCCATGATGGATATCCATAGTATATCCATAGTATATCCATAGTATATCCATAGTATATCCATAGTATATCCATAGTATATCCATAGTATATCCATAGTATATCCATAGTATATCCATAGTATATCCATAGTATATCCATAGTATATCCATAAGATGTACTTGTGCTATCTGCAGAAGCCCCTAAGCTCCTGGCACAGGTTGAAAGGTACCGTAGACATATGTTTCCCCTTAGTTCCTAAGTCATCGCAACGTCAGATGAAGACCTTGGCATTCTTCTTTTAAGCGAGTTGAAATGGTAATAGATTTGCTATGAATTAAATGATTATGTATTGGCGCGCTTTTAGATGAATTCTGGTAGTTAAGGACATTCTTACGTTCGGATACGTTCGTCTCCTCATAAGGTGCAAGGCCTAGACTCTTGTCGAAAACACTCACCCAAGTTCCCGTACGGCGCCGACGCGTTCAGATCCCCCATCGGCGTCGGCAGCGTCGCGTTGTGCAGCAACACCCCCCTGTCGGGCGGGCCGTAGCCGACGTGGTGGTGGTGATGGTGGTGGTGGTGGGGATGGTGAGGGTGGTGGGGGTAGTTGTGCAGGGGGTGCGGGTGGTACGGATGGGGGACGGTGGCGGCGCCGTCCGAGCCGGGCAGGTTCGGCAACAGCGTCGCGAGGTCCTGCCATCGCTGCTCCATGCTCATCGCGCGGACGAAAGGCATCCGGCCCTGCAAGAGATCCAGAGATTAGATTAACAATTTACGAGAGCGCTGAACGGACATGATGACATTTTTTTTCTCATAATTGCCAGTTCGAACTGGCAATTAGCCATGATTGCCAGTTTTAACTGGCATTTAGCTATAATTGCCAGTTTGAAGTGGCATTAAGCCATTATTGCCAGTTTGAACCGGAATTTAGCCATGATTGCCAGTTTGAACTAGCATTTAGCCATAATTGCCAGTTTGAACTGGCAATTAGCTATAATTGCCAGTTTGAACTGGCAATTAGCTATAATTGCCAGTTTGAACTGGCATTTAGCTATAATTGCCAGTTTGAACTGGCATTTAGCATTGTAATTGAAAATACAGAAGCCAAAATGATATGAGAATTGATGATTTCTCATTATGGAAAGATCATTCGAAGAAATATAAATGTAGGGATTCAGAAAAGGTCTGTTTACATGACATTGTACAATTATCTGCAGAAAAAGGGATATTTATTTTCAAGTTACCGATCTGATTTTGAGAAACCTGCACTACCCTTGGATTTCCCCAAGAAAAACATACTGAAATAAGGAAGAATTCCTTCACCAGAATCTGTCTTACGTCCGAGAGGAATTTCTGAACAACGACGAGATGGTATCATCAAGTTAATTCGTACTAATACTAATAGCAGCGGAAATAACTAAATAATCCCTGCAAACAGATTAGAATTTTGGCAAACAATTCCACTGTCAGGCAATGATGCATCTGTTGAAGACGAAGAGGAGATTTAGTTCGTTCACTCATAATGTGCCCTTTTATAAAACATAAAAATTACATTGTTTTATTTTTCAATAATACATCTGATGAGCAGCTGATTCTTTCTTTTATTACATTATGATTAATCAACATTGATTACCGCTGAATGGCTCAGTGCTGCATAGAGTTTCATCAGCATGAAATAGGGGTATCTACTGTTTTTTTCAGAAATATATGTTTTTTGGTTTGTATAGTCATGCTGTGTGATTGAGGACCGTTTAATCACTTATCATGAAACCATCCCATATGAAGGTAATAATTTAACATGTACAAAAATAATGTTATGAAGATTGATACTCATTTTCACATATTTCAGTTAAATGTGAGTTACCGCCGATGGGCCTAGCACGGCAGTACAATGCCCTTTATCACTTTTTTGCGTTTATCATCCTGAATTATAACTTTCAATCCAGAGTGTCATGATTGACTTGATAGATATTTATGTATCAAGGGCGTAAATTAGGCGTTCATGGCTTGCGGCGTGAATAATGGCCTGATGGCGTTAGCCGAGGGCCATTACACGCCGAATGCTATAAACGCATTTTACGCACGTGATACATACAAAATTGTATGCACTAGTGTTCTATTTCCCGAGTCACAAGTAATGACTGGATTTCAACGAACTACAATTCATATGTTACTCATAAATTCAGTTTTCAAGAGAAACGCAATGTTTTTGTGTATAATCTACATATTAAAATTACCGTACGAATATCGCAATTATCGTAATAAAACTCTTTGTTCACTAACAGAGATTCATTCCTCAAGATGTAACAATATGTATACCCAGTATATAGCTACCTAAATTTGACGTTCTGAATCAATCTGATGGTTGCTGTCTAGCAATACATCCAAAAAACAAGCTGAAATTGTCATCTTTTGGCTAAAAACTTCAGACAGCCAGAAAGCAACTATTCAGCAAAGAAGGAAGTTACAGCGAAGATGGAATCGGATGAACCATAACATGTACTTATCATAATCACAACGATAGAATCATAAATGTTGCCCATGAGTGTTTTTTGAGATAGTCAACTGTTTTTCTGTTGGCATATAAGAACCTTCCGAGAAAAAAAAGAACGTTCCTTGAAAAACAAACTTGAACAATAAGTAAAAAAAATTAAGTTGGGTTTCAAAATATACGTGGAGATATAATTATAACTGAATGCCAGTTCAAACTGGCAAATAACTGAATGCCTGTTCAAACTTGCGATTATAGCTAAATGCCAGTTCAAACTGGCAATTATAACTGAATGCCAGTTCAAACTGGCAATTATAGCTAAATGCCAGTTCAAACTGGCAATTATGGCAAAATATTCCAGTTCAAATTGGCAATTATAGCTGAATGTCAGTTCAATCTGGCAATTATGGCTAATTGCCAGTTCAAACTGGCAATAATGAAAAAAAATTTCATCATGCCCGTTTAGTGCTTTCGTACCAATTAGCGTTGCCACAGCTAGCTTGATTGAGCTAGTCACTAAATGGTATTAGTTTGATAAAATTTCGGACACAGAAATGACAACGGTTAGGGTTTTTGAATGTTCAGATTTATTAAGTTACACACCTTGCATTGTGACAAGGGCACCATAGTCGTCCCGCGCTTTTTCATTCAAAATTGTTTTAGTTTGACAATAAATTTTATAAACGTCAGAATTGAAATAAAATTTCATAATTATACCTTCGAGAAAAAAGCAGTTATGGAAATTACTTGCTGTGTAATGAATTGTGCCAATTCTGAAAAAAATGGATATCATTCATTCAATTTTTCAAAACAGATATCAACCGTTCTCTTATGGAAGGAAGATATGAAACGGCCTGGGTGGAAAATCAATTTGAAGACGAGCAAAATTTGTGAGGTACTCATTAAAATCCACTTCTTATAACAGCATCTGATTAGAATGAAACTATATTTTGGGCCCATTTTCAAACAGAAGATTTCGAAATTTGTTTGAGAAAATCTGCTGTTCCCTCAATTTACAAAGCAGAAGAATATCGAGGAATTCAAAAGCTAGTCGAAGTATGGGATTAAGAAGTGAATTTCTTATTATAAATGCAGAACTTCAGTTGTCTCAGTTTCAAAGGGTATATTATGTTCTCACATATCTACTATTATACCTACTTGGGTATTTATGTGAACATGAAAACCAATGAGAATAGTTATTTATGTATCAAGGGAATTATTATAAGGGCCTTAATTACGCTGGAGGTTATCGTTTTGGAGATATTTACAATTTTCTATACCGATCCATGTTACTTAGCTCCTAGGGCGCTAAGTGAAGTTGCTGAGAACTTTACAAAACCAAGTATGTGGTAGGTCTCGTCAAAATAAACTATTTTTTTCCTATGGAATGTTCATCGAAAAATGATTTGTTCTCTGTATTTCAACACCCTGTATCTCCGAAATGAAGCATTTTCGGACACAAGCTTACATAGGCTTTATTTCTATTTGCCTCAGGAATACTTTACTTGAATTGGGGGGAAGCTTCACTGTCCCTGACCTTCGCTCAACTTACACAATCTGTATCTAGTCGTTAGCAAAAACAAACAGTTATTGGCGTTAGTATTCGTAGTTTAATAGCATATCAAGTATAATTTCTCATTTGATGATGTCAAGTTGAATCAACATCATGAAAATCCAAAACGCATGTATGTTATTCAGCAACTGCAAATGAAACGCTTTCCCCTGTTGGCTATTTATTTTTATAAGATATTAATTCAAAAGAGAACCAAAATTGAACATAAACAAGTGCTAGACAAACAATTAATTGATACGTCTCACAGCACGTTGTTATTTTTGGTTAATTTCAGTCGGAAAAGTAAACACTCGATCAGACAGGTAAGAAGAAATTGAAGGGACTTTAGAGACAGACAGCGGGACACCTGATTTGGAAGTTGTATGCATTCCCACGAAACTATATTGAGCAAACACTTATATGTATATAGGCATGCGATGAATATGTCTTTTATATTAGAAGTTGATAATCCCTTTCAAATTCGTACAGGTATACTTTCTAGGTCAGATCGACAAATTGATGTGGTTATCTATATATTTTTTTACGAATTTGTCATGATAATGATTTCCCTTAATATTCCATATTTTCCTCGGTTTTTAAGTTTCAAAATAACAACAACAACAATAGGTATATTGGCATCTCATGATCTAGTTGGAAGTACATACCTCTATTTTTTGCATTTTTTGTACTTATATTTCTCCCACTCATTAAATGGATTCCTGTTGGGTGGTGTACAATATAAAGATATACCTCAGTTCTATTTCTTCTATAATTTTCATAATATAAAGGGAGATAAATCAATATGATGAAAAATTAAAAAAGAATTCCTTGGAAAAAAAAATAGAAAATAAGTTCTTATCGGTAAACATTTTCCAAAACATTAGTAGTCTCGCTCGTATATAAAGTATTATTAATAATTTTTGAAGGCAGGGATCATTTACCACATTTCACCATTAATTTCAGCTTTGAAACACACATTCGATCAAATGAGTAGGTATCCTTACCTACACAAAATTACTTGTTGCTAGTTTTTTTTTCTCTCATGGAGAGTTTAGGAACGTGCAGAAGAATATATATTTTTTTAAAGTCATTATCTTGTACTGTTCAACTTCAAAAAGATAATTTACTGAAAGAAACAGCGTGTCATATTTTTTATTTCTCCATATGAATATCAGCCTATAGTTGACCTCTACGATGCCACTGGAATGAATATGAACAAGTTCTTGCAATATCAGAATATGCTTTTTGTAATTGCAAACAAATCTACTAAACTTCAAGAAAATCAATAAATGAGTATTTACAGAAAATACATACATGAATTATTTAAATAAAAATATGAATTCCTGAATCTAAGAAATTATGGGTATTTGGAAATAAGTTCAAGAGATTTTCTCAATGTAGTGCAATGAATCTTGATTTTTTTACCATATCAATGTAAGATCCTGTTTAAGAATCATCTCAGACTTACTGTATGAAAGCTGACGTTGGAAACAATCTTATGATCAATATATATGATGAAATATATGATCAGAAAGTAAATTTTGTCATCCATAATATTGGACCAATTTTCTTAATATGATTTTAAAAAGCAAATATTGTTACACCATTTCTTTATCAGCTTACTCCAAAATTCAACAATATTCAAATGTATCAAGCAAACCGAGAATTCCGTAATGGGATTAGTTTTCGGGCTTTAGACAGACAATTTGGTGGAGTAAAATTTTATTATGACAAATGACTTTGTGGTGGCTTAGGTAGTGACCTCTTTGTATTTTGTGGGTTCGTCTTGTCAAATTATCATCATGTTAAGATTTACGGTGCCATCATCGGCAACATTAATCTTTTGTGGGTTTCTTTTGTCAATGGTCTACCTGTTAGCTGGGATTTTTGTGTTGGGGGTGTTTCAGTTCTCGGATAATTTGTAAAAATAACAAGATTAGACAGAGATTTCGAAAGATTACAATTACAGGTAATGGGCTCTGGAGAGTATGCAGCCTATTTCAGATAGTTTTAAAAATTCTAATGGTTAAGAAAGTATATAAAATTGTGTATAATAGTAGATAGGTCTGTACCTCTCAGTATAACGCTCAGTAGCAATCTTATCATGGACACATACACGGCAGACTATTCAAGATAGTAGAATTTGAAATAAATAATTCGTTTTAGGATATTTCATTTAATCTGATCTGTCCTCTACGACGCGTGTGAACTGCCATCCTGAAAAAACTTTTTTTTCACAAAATTAGTGCTAATTTACAGTTGCAACTCTAAGTTAGGCAGAAGGAACTTGTTTTTTTAAATATCGCCTAATTTACAGTTGCAATTGTAAATTAGGCAGAGAAAACTTTTTTTTTCAAAACACCTCCTAATTTACAATTGCAACTGTAAATTAGGAGATATTTTGAAAAAAGTGTCTTCTGCCTAATTTACAGTTGAAACTGTTAATTAGTTCAAGAGAACTTTTGTCTACACATCTCCTAATTTACAGTTTCAACTGCAAATCAGAGTATCAGAGTCTCACAGTCTCAGCGCATCGCGTGCTATCGAAGAATGAAAGCTGCCTATTTTGAAAAAAGTGTCTTCTGCCTAATTTACAGTTGAAACTTTTAATTAGATCAAGAGAACTTTTGTCTACACATCTCCTAATTTACAGTTTCAACTGCAAATCAGAGTCTCACAGTCTCAGCGCATCGCGTGCTATCGAAGAATGAAAGCTGCCTATTTTGAAAAAAGTGTCTTCTGCCTAATTTACAGTTGAAACTTTTAATTAGATCAAGAGAACTTTTGTCTACACATCTCCTAATTTACAGTTTCAACTGCAAATCAGAGTCTCACAGTCTCAGCGCATCGCGTGCTATCGAAGAATGAAAGCTGCCTATTTTGAAAAAAGTGTCTTCTGCCTAATTTACAGTTGAAACTTTTAATTAGATCAAGAGAACTTTTGTCTACACATCTCCTAATTTACAGTTTCAACTGCAAATCAGAGTCTCACAGTCTCAGCGCATCGCGTGCTATCGAAGAATGAAAGCTGCCTATTTTGAAAAAAGTTTCTTCTGCCTAAGTTACAGTTGAAACTGTTAATTTGATCAAGAGATCTTTCGTCTACACATCTCCTAATTTACAGTTTCAACTGCAAATCAGAGTCTCACAGTCTCAGCGCATCGCGTGCTATCGAAGAATGAAAGCTGCCTATTTTGAAAAAAGTGTCTTCTGCCTAATTCACAGTTGAAACTTTTAATTAGATCAAGAGAACTTATGTCTACACATCTCCTAATTTACAGTTTCAACTGCAAATCAGAGTCTCACAGTCTCAGCGCATCGCGTGCTATCGAAGAATGAAAGCTGCCTATTTTGAAAAAAGTGTCTTCTGCCTAATTTACAGTTGAAACTGTTAATTAGATCAAGAGATCTTTCGTCTACACATCTCCTAATTTACAGTTTCAACTGCAAATCAGAGTCTCACAGTCTCAGCGCATCGCGTGCTATCGAAGAATCAAAGCCGCCTATTTTGAAAATAGTGTTTTCTGCCTAATTTACAGTTGAAACTGTTAATTAGATCAAGAGATCTGTCGTCTATACATCTCCTAATTTACAGTTTCAACTGCAAATCAGAGTCTCACAGACTCAGCGCATCGCGTGCTATCGAAGAATGAAAGCTGCCTATTTTGAAAAAAGTGTCTTCTGTCTAATTTACAGTTGAAACTGTTAATTAGATCAAGAGATCTTTCGTCTACACATCTCCTAATTTACAGTTTCAACTGCAAATCAGAGTCTCACAGACTCAGCGCATCGCGTGCTATCGAAGAATGAAAGCTGCCTATTTTGAAAAAAGTGTCTTCTGCCTAATTTACAGTTGAAACTTTTAATTGGAATCAAGAGAACTTTTGTCTACACATCTCCTAATTTACAGTTTCAACTGCAAATCAGAGTCTCACAGTCACAGCGCATCGCGTGCTATCGAAGAATGAAAGCTGCCTATTTCTGGTAGTCTGGTGAGAAATTGTGAGAATTGAGACTGTGTGACTCTAATTTACAGTTACAACTGTAAATTAGGAACAACTGTAAATTAGGAGATGTGTAAAAAATGTTCTCTTGTTCTAATTTACAGTTGCAACTGTAGATTAGTGCTAATTTACAGTTTCAACTGTAAATTAGTGCTAATTTACAGTTGCAACTATAAATTAGGCAAATGTTATGGAAAAGCAAAAGTTTTTTTAGGATGGCACTTCAGACGCGTCTCGTATTCCTCAGATGATTTTGAGATAATCATAATTCTAAGTTATGTGATGAACACTGCTTGATTCTAATAATGATAATTGATTTTTTTTTTTTCGTTAATACATGGTGTCCCGAAATGACATTCCAACCAGGGAATCTAGGAACAAAAATAGTAAAAAAGTTCACATAAACATAGGTCCAAAAATGCCCCCCTAAGGGGTTATAAGTATACGATTTATACGTCAACGGGTTGGAACAATCTGGAGCATTTGTAGATCTTCTTTGAATTTATTGAAGAATCAGGAAAAAACTGGCTCTGATAAGGTTGAACATGATATGAAAGAAATTGTAAAAATTTTTTTTTACAAACATTATTTTGCCGTCAGTACTAAAAGGAACTGAAATTGTGAAAATTGACACTTATGAAAGGAAAATGACTTTGACGTTGGACACGAAACAGAAAATTAATGAGGTGTGTATGTGATAGGTCTTAAATCTATGGTGAGTATGTCAGAGTTGGCAATGAATGGAAAACTTTTTCATTATTCATTTTTAGGAAAAAAGTCATACTTCATAAAAAGTTCGGCAAGGCCTAAAACCGATATCGGGAATATCAGATTGCAATTTTTTTCAGTCGTATACGAGGTATGTTGAGAATTATTGATTTTGCTCACGAATAATTTCCGACAATATTGAAAATTATTATAAAGAAAAGTTTATAGGAATTGAAAACTACGTTCAAATATATAATTACATTCATCTACGATGAAAATCGGGTTATATTATTTACTCGTGCAAAATTCATATATTTTAAACGATTTTGATATTGTCGAAATTGAAGATATCTCGTATACGACAGAAAAAAAATCATATCTGATATTTGCATTTGCAGTCACCTAATGACTGACCTGGAAGTGGAGCACGTTCAAATATCTAATTAGATTTATCTCCGATGAAAATCATGTTTTATTATTTACTTGAGTAAAATTAATGTTTTTCAACAATTTTAGATATTTTCGAAAATAAATGTACTTCACTGAGCAAAATTCATGTTTTTTTAACAATTTTCGATATTTTCGAATATACATGAACTTTATTACAGAGCAAAATTAATATTTTTAGACATACCTCCTACACGACTGAAACAAATGCATACTTCTCTGAAATATGTATTTTCATTTTCAAGCCTTGCAGAACTTTTAATGAAGAACGACTTTTTACCTGGAATTGATAATAAAAAAGTTTTCCATTTATCGCCAACTTTTTTATTCTTCCTTATGAAAATAATTTGGACCACCTTGAGATATGGATGATTTTCATGATTTATCTACGGTTAGCTAGAACAACTCCAACGTCAAAGACAGACCTGGAAGTGAAGCACGTTCAAATATCTAATTACATTTATCTACGATGAAAATCATGTTTTATTATTCACCTGAGCAAAATTGATATTTTTGAAACAATTTTCGATATTGTCGAAAACAAAGGTAATTTATTCCTGAGCAAAATTAATATTTTTAGACATATCTCGTACACGACTGAAAAAAAAAGCATTCTTATCTGAGATTTGTATTTGGGCTTTGCAGAACTTTTTATGAGGAATGACTTTTTTCCTGGAATTAACAAAAAAGTTTTCCATTTGTTGCCAACTATTTTAGTCTTCCTTATGAAAACACTTTGGACCACCTTGAGGAATGGATGATATTCATGATTTATCTACTGACTGACCTGGAAGTGGGGCCGGTGGTGCGGATGGTGGAACTGCGGCGTCTGGATCATGTCGTCGAGAAAGTCGAAGTCGGGCTCGCGCTCGTCGGGCCGTGCTGCCGCCTCCTCGCTGCCGGAGGCGAGCTCATCGGCGTCGCCGCAGGTGGCGGCCGCCTCCAGCGACAGGTTCTCGAGCTCCTTGAGGTTTATGGCGTTTTCCTGGAAAGCAAACGGTTATTGAATAATATTGCATTAATCACATCTCACAAGGGTTCATGACGGGAAAGCAAACTGCAAATTTCGACCGTCATCTCCGATAACGAAATGACATATTATATCCGATAGAATGAAAAACGAAAAGGGATATCCTGTAATGTTCAGAGAACATCGTGAGAACAAAGGAAAATGAGGTAGGAATTGGTGTTCTTCTTAAATTTCTGGAGGTTATATGCCTCGGGGAACACATCCCTTGGCAATGTGTTCAAGAGCCTCGCTATTCGTTGGATGAACGAGTCTTCGGAAATAGATGTTCTGCAGGTCTCCAAAGTGACCACGAAGGGGTGAGAAGCCTCAGTTCGACGGGTTAATCTCGCGGGGACTGCCAAAAGACGAACAATTGTTCATATTTCAGAAGAGCATCGTCCATGAGAATATCTATGAAATAGAGCCAGATCGCCAACTTTTCTACGGTGTTCCAGAGAAGTGAGTGAGTTTGTGAGCGAGGCATCACCCACGAGACGAATTGCCCTTTTTTGGACAGAATCCAAAAGTTTCAAGGTATGTTTGGGTGCAGGACAGGTCGGATCTGTGCCTTATAGATCAAAAGCAGCTGACTGGAAGTGAAATATAGCTCCTGGGCCGAAACAGAAAACCAAGTTTTCGGGATGCACTTTCAGCAATTGATCTCACGTGATTTTCCCAAGAAAGGTTATTGCTGATAGTAATACCAAGCATCGAAATGGATGTCTTCAAAGGTATGGTTATTCCTGACAAGCTTATGTTGGAAATGACATATTATATTCGATAGAATGAAAAAACATCGTATTTTATCAAACAGCACCTCCTTGATCTGAGTAAAATATTCCGCGCAGTGTTTATTTTGCTGCCGTTCGCCCGGCCATACTTCCCTCACGTGATAACTAGTTTTTTTTTCATGTTCTGGTTCCCACGGATAGGGATATCCTGTAATGTTCATAGAACATCGTGAGAACCAAGAAAAATAAGATAGGAATTGGTGTTCTTTTAGAATTTCTTGAGGTTATATGCCTTGGGGAACACCTCCCTTGGCGATGTATTCCAGAGCCTCGCTATTCGGTGGATGAACGAGTCTTCGGAAAGAGATGTTCTGCAGGTCTCCAAAGTGACCACGAAGGGGTGCGAAGCCTCAACTCGACGGGTTAATCTCGCGGGGACTGCCAAAGGACGAACAATTGTTGATATTTCAGAAGAGCATCGTCCATGAGAAAATCTATAAAATAGAGCCAGATCGCCAACTTTTCTACGGTGTTCCAGAGAAGTGAGTGAGTTTGTGAGCGAGGCATCACCCACGAGACGAATTGCCCTTTTTTGGACAGAATCCAACAGTTTCAAGGTATGTTTGGGAGCAGGACAGGTCGGATCTGTGCCTTATACATAGATCATAAGCAGCTGACTGGAAGTGAAATATAGCTCCTGGGCCGAAACAGAAAACCAAGTTTTCGGGATGCACTTTCAGCAATCGATCTCACGTGATTTTCCCAAGAAAGGTTATTGCTGATAGTAATACCGAAATGGATGTCTGCAAAGGTATGGTTATTCCTGACAAGCTTATAGTGGAAATGACATATTATGTTCGATAGAATGAAAAAACATCGTATTTTATCAAACAGCACCTGAGCCAATCACTATCTTGAGCAAAATGATTGATCTCAAAACCTTACCTGTGCCACTCCTTGATTTGAGTCAAATATTCCGCGCAGTGTTTATTTTGCTGCCGTTAGCCCGGCCATACTTCCCTCACGTGATAACTAGTTTTTTTTTCATGTTCTGGTTCCCACGGAATGGGATATCCTGTAATGTTCATAGAACATCGTGAGAACCAAGGGAAATAAGGTAGGAATTGGTGTTCTTTTAGAATTTCTGGAGGTTATATGCCTCGGGGAACACCTCCCTTGGCGATGTGTTCCAGAGCCTCGCTGTTCGTTGGATGAACGAGTCTTTGGAGAGAGATGTTCTGCAGGTCTTCAAAGTGACCACGAAGGGGTACAAAGCCTCAACTCGACGGGTTAATCTCGCGGGGACTGCCAAGGGACGAACAATTGTTGAGATTTCAGAAGAGCATCGTCCATGAGAATATCTATAAAATAGAGCCAGATCGCCAACTTTTCTACGGTGTTCCAGAGAAGTGAAAGAGTTTGTGAGCGAGGCATCACCCACGAGACGAATTGCCCTTTTTTGGACAGAATCCAACAGTTTCAAGGTATGTTTGGGTGCAGGACAGTTCGGATCTGTGCCTTTTAGATCATAAGCAGCTGACTGGAAGTGAAATAGAGCTCCTGGGCCGAAACAGAAAACCAAGTTTTCGGGATGCACTTTCAGCAATCGAACTCACGTGATTTTCCCAAGAAAGGTTATTGCTGATAGTAATACCAAGCATCGAAATGGATGTCTTCAAAGGTATGGTTACTCCCGAGCCTGACAAGCTTATGTTGGAAATGACATATTATATCCGATAGAATGAAAAAACATCGTATTTTATCAAATAGCACCTATAAGCCAATCACTATCTTGAGCAAAATGATTGATCTCAAAACCCTACCTCTGCCACTCCTTGATCTGAGTCAAATCTTCCGCACAGTGATTTTTTTGCTGCCGTTAGCCCGGCGCCATACTTCCCTCACGTGATAACTAGTTGAAAACAAAATGAAAATGAAGGGGGATAGTGTCTCCTTCGTGAATATCCAAACGTGCCGCGATTCAAACTGATCTGAGTTCATAGCAGAGCATCAATAAGATAATATCCGATGGACCATCAGTTCGATGTTCTGGTTCATCGGATATTATCCTTCGATAGAGGCGAAATATTCTTCAAAATATTTTGACGCTCTGCCACGAACTTAGATCAGTTTGAATCACGGCACGTTTGAATATTCGCGAAGGATACATCATCCCCATTTATTCTTATGCTATTTCAACTCGTCACATCACTTGACAAAAGTATCTATTTATCCTGATTAGCAAAAAATTCGTTGTGCCGAGAATTTGACTCAATTTTGCTCAGTGATTGGCACAGGAGCCGTTCGATAAAATAGAACGCTTTTACATGCTTTTGGGACATGTTATTTCGTTATCAAAATGACGGTCGAAATTTGCAGCCAGCTCTTGGACTATTACAGTCCAATAGAGAACTATATACACTCACCGACAAAAAAACCTGCCAGCAAAAAATTTTGCCGAATTGATCGCCCTGTAACTTTCTCAATTCTTGTCCAATTCTGATGAAATTTCGACCACATCGTAGATTTATATTTCAGAGTGATATCTTGAACTTTAATTCTTGAAAAGAGCTCAGGCTTCGTTGGTCAGTATACAGGGAAAAACAAAAGTTACTCTTTCACCCATAACTTCAAAACGCTCTGTGGCAAGTGGGTGGTTGAACTTAGCTATATCATGTTTTGGATTGAGTTGTGATCCCTTTCTTAATACCATGATCTTCGAATCACGTCGATATCTTCTCTTTTTAAAAACATACATGTGTTTTAAGAAAGTAAGAATTTTCAACATATTTTTCGAAAATAATTCAGAACCATTCATTTTCCAATCATCTGCTTCATCATGTTTTGTATTGAAGTTTGAACCCTTTTCGTCCCATCTTAATACAGTGGTTCTTGATTCATGCCAATTTCTTCTTTTTAAGAGAAGAGAAGAAAAACGTGTTTTGAGAAAGAATAATACTAAAAACTCAACGTCATGGATCACAAACATTTGTAATTACATAAGAAGTGTTACTAGTTTCGGCATTCAGCTATCATCAGACACATATAAAACTACCTGTAAGGAAACAACTATGAAGAATTCTACAATTACTACTGATGAAAGGAATCCTACAATCTGCAGCAAATATGTTAAAATTGAAAAGGGGGGGTTGCCAAACGGAAAAAGCAGTCCTAATGGAACATATTACAATTTGTAACTGCTGAACAACCAGAAATAGCTCATCAAAATCTGGTGGAACATTAGAGAACAATAATTGAGGGAATTAAATTGAATTTACTCAAAAATTGGATTGAGATCGTCACATTATCAGGCTGACGGCCATAAGACAAAGCAAGCACCAAAAGGAGATGCTTTGTCTTATGGCCGTCAGCCTGATGATGTGACAATCTCAATCCAATTTTGGAGTAAAGAATTCCTTAAATGTTTCTTTTATGTTCAACCAGGTTTTGATGAGTTATTTCTGGTTGTTCAGCCGTTACAAATTGTAATATGTTCCATTATTAGGACTGCTTTTTCGGGCTGACAACCCATCTTTCCAATTTTAACCAATTTGCTGCACATGGTAAGATTCCTTTCATCAGAAGTAATTGTGGGATTTTTCATGTTTGCTTCCTGACCGGTACTTTTTATATGTGTCTGATGATGGCCGAGTGCCGAAACTAGTAATGCTTCTTATGAAATCAAAAATTTTTGTGGTCGACCGACTTTGGGTTTTTTGTATTTTTTTGTTGAAAAATTCTGGACTACTTTGAAAAAAATTTATTGTTTCCTAGACTTGTTTTGAGAAAGTATGGATTTTATGAATTTTTATCAACAATAATTCAGAACCTATAGACCAGCATCTTTGGGATGACTTCAGACTCCAGAGGCTCATTCACCTTCGTCCAGCGTTGTCAGAGACGATTCAAGAGCTTGTATATTCTTTTGAAAAGAAGATATTGACGTGAATAAACAACAATTGTGTTGAGAAGGGATCACACTTCAATCCAAAACAAAATGAAACTAGGTTAGAATACCCACTTTTGCCACAGGGCGTCAAGAAGTTAAGCGTGAAATAGTAAGTTTTGGTTTTTCTTGTATAATGATCAATCCATCTTCTTTTTTGGGAACTTGAAATCGAGTAAACATTTCAAAACGTCAGTCTACGATTCGATTTTTATTTCACCAAAATCGAACAACCAATTTGGCGATTTTTTTTGTGGCCGGTTTTCTTGCCGGTGAGTGTGGAATGGTGTTTTCGAGCAGAAGGTTATAGAGTTTTGGAACTTGGCAGGAACGTAAACTTGGTGGTCCTGGTTATAACCGTAAATTTTCGACCTTGAGCGACCACCGCTCGTTCCGCCATCTTGGAAATTATGCCCGAAATCACTTTTTGACGTATAACTAAATTTCTGTATGGTTTAGAGAAAAAGTTTCTCGAAAAGGAATATTCTCAGATATATTATGAATATGAAAAAATGGATATTGATAGAGAAAGAAATACATTGAGAATTCGCATTCTCTTTGTGATGAATATATCAACCCTTAATCGGTATGTTCAACAGAAAACAAATACTTTCCTTGCTATATGCCAAATATCTTTTCTCTAAAAACTTCAGGACATGATATGTATACGCCAAAAAGTGATCTCGCTGATCTCGGGCGCCATTTTCACTTTTTGTGATGTGGTATTTCAATAATTAGGAATTCTTATGAAATTATCAAAGTGACGAGTATTTTGAGAACTTAACAAAACAATTGAAATTTAATGACAAGACCGTCTCTGACCTAGCATGAATTGAAGTGCAAAAATGTGTGTGACCCCCCTAACAGTAGCACCCCCTAACCATAACATACTTCTACCCATGAAATACAGGATGTAGATGTGTAGGATGTAGGTGAAGACGCGCGTAAGCTAGAAAATGATTTCGATTTGTTGAAAATATAATAGTATAATGATAATAATAATATATTTACCCATGTAGAAAATACATTACATCACAACACATTCTCGTAAAACACGGTACATTAGGGGAAAATAAGGAGAGTGATTCAAATAAGTCGATTTTAGAACTTATCTATGAATAGCTCATCAATTATTTCGTATGATACTTCGATATAATACAAATTGAGAGTAAGTTTGAGTGGTTAAGGGTGGAAAATGTGTCTATCTTCGATTCCTCGATTTCGAATCCAACACTCGATCATTTTTATAATTACTCGTATAAAAAGAGACAAAAATGTTCCCATTCGCGATAGAAAATAACACGTCACTCCACCTGACAAAAAACAGATGTGACCAATGGAAACAAAGTAAACAAAACGCTTCGACAGCTTTCAAAAACGCCGATAGGTGGCGTACGCTTATTTTCCATCGAATTTCTACAATGATGATAATTATATTTGTGAATCAAAAATCGATCAAGTAACGTGAGGTATCTGTGAATGAGACACCAACTCACCTGAGACGTTTCATCTTCCAAATCTACAAGACGTAGTGCCTCGTCGAGCAGAAATTCGGGAAGGGGCAAAGATAGGTCGCCAAGTGGTAGATCACACGATGAGGAGCTGCAGTCCACTCCGGAAAGGCTGAGTTCCCCTTTTATCACATACTCGCCTGTGAACGATAAAAAGTCCTGTGAAAATATGAGAGATCAAGATCGAAACTGTCTTGATTGGCGGAATTGGTGAGCATCCGTCCGCCGGTGCCATCCATTACACGCATCGGTACTACCAGGCTAAATGCAGATGCGAGGGATTGAGAGGAATGGGAGTTTTTTTTTATCTCTTGGAGCGCACGAAAGGAAAATCCTATGATGTTCGAAGAACATCGTGTATATATATCTAGGGAGGATAGGGAAAGGAAATAGGTGTTCGAATTTTTTGGAGGTTATAAGTTCCTGGGAATACTACTTATTTTACGCTGCTGATGTTTGTATTTCTCGGTGCCCATTTTGACTTCGCACACCGTGATGGATTTGTCTGTAGATATACAGATTTTGAAACTGGTTTTCTATCTAGAACCACCTTAGACTCGAGTAGGTACGTGAAAAAATTGATTATTATTATATACGTTTTCGGTGCTTGTCCGAGTATCTTCCTTCGGTTGTCGGGCCATATTATGAATCATAAATAGGCGAATGATCTCGATGCATCAGCTAAGTTAGATTGTAAGAGAAAGGGGATTTGAGCTGATGTATTCACAAGTAGGTACTACCGCTGTAGTACGCCTGTCAAATATTGAAACTAAACTTTCTCAGTAATCCATACAAACACACTTACACCACATTGAATTCATATACTCATAGTGATATAAAACATAAAACTTGAAGCATTTGTTACCTTCTGCTGCATTCATCCACAAACCAAACCAGAAGTACCAGAGCTAAAATGAACTATTTACTTTCATTGGAAGACATTAACAATCTCAAGCGCTAGTCTTGTGACAGAAGAAGAAAATGCAATTCAAAGCCACACACGGATACCAATTTTATGTCCACCTTTTATGACCCATGCACGACGGCTCTAAACCACCATCCCAAAACAACTCTTCACGAATTTGCAATTGCAACGTTAAATTAGCACTAATTTACAGTTGCAACTGTGTGGATATAAACAAAGGTGAAATAATTTTATTCAATACATATCAAAAACAGGTCGGTGAAGCAATGACATGATTTTTTGAAAATGTAGGAAAATTTTGAAAGGGAGTAAGAATCAATATCAATAGAATTTGACAAAGTATTGTGTGATATTTTGCATCTCTGCATTGATGGAGACTTCAAAAAATAATTTGTTTGATATTGTTCGTAACGGAAAATATAATGATTCCTAGTAATATAAGTAGGAGCTGTAAGATAAATATTACTAAGGATAGATAGGAAAGAAGGCAAAAGTAGCATATAACACAAAAGAAATCAGAAAGCTCATCAACGTCTTACAGAATTAGTGTTTCAAGGTATTGTAGGTCTGATGTAGCTCAAACTGCGAAAAAAATTCAAAATCTCCACACTTCCACTAGTGTTGAAGGAATATGGTTCTGCAGCTCTATACCCAGACAGCACATGCAAGATAATAATAATAATAATAAATGTTCTTTATTGGTTAAAACCAAATGGCCATCGACCGAGGTCCTTCAGCCGCATGCAAAATATTCCAGGGATATTCTCACAATATTCGAAACATATCTCCAGTGATAGGGATATCCTGAAATATTCGATTGATGATATTAAAATTGCATTTGAACATTCTATAAGAACGTTCTAAAACATTCCATATTATCTCCTCCATGAAAATTATCCAGGAATTATAATAGAATAATAATAGAATGTTTCATTCGAATATTGTTTGACAAGGTCGTCAGGATATAGGCCATAAATTTTTTTCATGAATTATAAAGTTCGTCCTGTATTCTGATCCATTAGTCAGTCTATAATATATACAACATTCAAGTAGTTACCTAATTTTTGTGGACGAGGTAAGGTGTGGTAAGTGATATTTCATCAAGTTTCTTATGGAATTGATCGAATAACACAAGATGCTGAATGGAATTAAAAAACAGGAAGAAACTAGAGATCCAATTTCGTAGGTACATTTTGGTACCATCTATGATGGACAATAGACGTTATACACCGTACAGCCAAACAACCGTAGCAAACTCGTCTAATTATTAATAACCGAGCCATTTGTTCAAGGCAATATGGTTTGCTTATTAGCTATCCAACAAGCTCCGCTCATATTATTTTTTTCCATCCTGCCGATGCCGATTCCATGTAAATCGCTGAATTAATAGAAGAGGCCATGCCGAGATAATAAGAGAAGAAGGTACCTACCTATTTTGGTATTTCCATTTGTCTTGACCAAACGAAACCTTGAGAGTCAGAAGAGGCTGGCTCACAAATGGTAATGTGTTCATTATTCGACCAATGGAAGAATCATCGATGTTTAACAATTATTATTATTGTTCCTATTATTAGAAATAATGATATCGAGTAACCATGAGGCATATTACGCCTCGGAAATTTGCTGTATTTTTGAAGATACGAATTTGAGATCCGGACCATTGCAATAGTGCTTCCGGTAGGTTTTTTTTTCATCACCATCCTTCAAAATTGGTATAACTCTCAATGTTTCAGATTCTGAGAAAATTTTCCGTGATATGAAACAATTTATTCATGAGGTATGCTTAGAAGTTGAATATATTTGATATTTTTTTGTTGGAAAAGCTGATGATATTTTACACCAACTACTTGAGTATCAATTTTTCAAACTCATGCATGTTTCAGTTATTTCAGTTGACATGGTTTCAGTTATATATGACAGAGCCTTTAATATTTTCCCGACTTTCATCATCGCATCAACATCGTCTGTTTTATAAGATTCTTCGGAGATAGAAGTTATTGAAGCAATCTGCTACATCTTTTTTCCCTTCAATTCGCCCATCTTGTATACCCCGAATTATTTCGTCTTATATTTCTTATTGTTTTCCCGGTCTCATTTTCCACAGTCTGGCCACATCGTTTTCATTTAATCATACTTCTTTTTCACATGACCTTCTCTTTGCAGCTCCCAATTTTTTTTTACATAGTACAATATTTGATGTTTTACATGTTCTATATATAAAGTTCTATAAATATCAAATAATCTCCAGGAATTCTAATCTTTTCCTGATTGAACTATCTTATGAATTTCCATGAAATCATCGAACTAACTATAATGGCTTCCTAGGAGTTCTTATGATGTCTTGGAATTCCCAATGAGTAACCAATGAGTTCCTGCCTATGGAATATCAAACTTTTCACCAGCCAATGGGCCATAGCACGAAGGCATCTACCTAGCTGAAATCCCTTTCAAAGACACAATCGGAATTTACTGAAGAAATATTCAATAATATAAATAATTAAGGTAGGTGAATACAATATGCGCATGTTTGCAATATGCGCACGAGCACGGGTAGTTTATTTGTTTCATGAACGATGGCAGCACGAGCACACATCATAAACACAGTTTTCTGTTAACCTACTGTCAGATTTTAGTCGGTTAGACAGCAAGTTGCAAGCGTTGTCAGACTGGTGTCGCTAAAAATGATTTTCTCAAGACGCCGGTATAATATTGCAATGTTAATTTTTTTATTATAGAGTTGTAAAATAAAGTGTTATTGAAGCTTAGATTGTGGTGAAAAGCAATCGATTCAAGATAACACTCAATACAAAAACATAACCTAATCTATAATTTAGCTTCGTTTCTAGCAATATGCCCACCATGCGGAGTTGGCAATAGGCAAATCGGCTACAGTACCTAAATCTATGTCAGCACACTTAAAAGAAGTGTCAGATGAGGTTTTGTAGGTTTAATAATTGAGGAAATTGAAGACATTTCCATTTGCTCATTCTACGAATGATACTTAATAATAATCATTTTCGTTCTATTTATTTTTTAGGATTTGTATAGTTAAACATGAATAATTATTCCACAAGTATTACATCTATTATAAATAATTTTCGACTTTTGCATGCATGGACATTTTGCCGACACCGTGTTAGCAATATGGCCATTTACACTTTTAATTGGATAAAGAATATTACAAACCAATTTTTCATGGCAACTATTTTTTCAATTTGTGAACATGTTGAACTTTTATCATGAAGTGATTGCCTTAACTCGTTATTACCAGTTATCTTTTTAACAAAAAAATCGCTCAAGGTAGGCATATTGTATAGATAATTATTTTGGAGACTAATACAGTGAAAACCGTGGAATGTCCCAAGAACCACCAAACCGAACTATTTAGGAATGTTTGAGCGGCTTTCAGAGAATCTTTCATCAACCTATATATTATTTTCATTATATAGCAGCTGAAGTTGACTTCTCTATTCATTTCAATAAAGTCAAGAAATGGAGAAGAATCATCAAAAAATTGTATTTACAGTATCTTATGTTTATGGAAAGTATTATACAGGTGAAACCGATACCTTTCTCAGAAAGGATAAAAGAACATACATAAGAAGAATATGGAGAAAAGACATATCGACAAATTTAGATCAGCTTAACATCTCGTAATCGAAAATGGAATGATGGCAGAGTGGAAAACATCAAAATCATAGGAAAAGAATATAACAACCAGAAAAGAAAAATCAAAGGTTCCGCTTGCATTATTCTGCTTTATTTTCAGTTGATAATAATAGAACATGGTCTTGAATCTTACAATGAAAATGATGAATTCAAATTCAATTGATGAAACATCCTGTAACCAACTCTCTTTTGTATCAACTTCTGCGTCACTGAGATGTCTCAGTAGAGTAAACCTGAGAGAAACCTAACATTTTTCAAACAAGGTGTCACCCACTTACTATCGACTGAAATTTGTCTTTTAGATTTCTGACATTAATAAATAGTAATAAATACTATGATATGATTTGTCTTTACTAATTATATATTGAAATAATACAAATATTTTAATTTATAGGAACGAGGAGGAAACTCCGAAAATTTAGCACGTCTTCAAAGTATTTTTTTCTGTGACGGGAAAAATAGTTGACAGGTACTAAAATGTCACTGTTTATAATATTACTTTCCGGATATACAGGCCCCATGCCATAGCGCCGCTATATTAACTAT